TCAAGCTCGGTGGTGGTATTCGTCCTATAGTTGTGGGTACTATTTGGCGGCGTCTGGTTTCGAAGGTGGGTGCTGTTATGGTTGGCCAATCTTTAGGAAGTTACTTTGCTGGTCTTCAATTTGGCTTTGGGGTTTCTTCAGGTGGCGAGGCAATTCTTCATGCTGTGAATCGATTGATTGAGGACCGTGGTTCTGATGTTGGTCTTTCTATGTTGTTGGTGGATCTCCAAAATGCCTTCAATCTTGTTGATCGTACGGTCATGTTGCGTGAAGTTTGTCGTCATTGTCCCAGCATTTCGCGATGGGTTGAATTCAGCTATTCTAATCCAGCCAAGTTGTATTATGGGGACCAATCCTTATGGTCGTGTCAAGGAGTGCAGCAGGGTGATCCCCTTGGTCCTCTACTTTTTGCTTTAGTTTACAGCCCCTAGTTTGTAAAATCAGAGATGCTTTTGACTTATGTCTTCATGCGTGGTATTTGGATGACGGCGCTATTATTGGTGACACTTTGGTGGTGGGGAAGGTTCTGCAGTTGATTATGGAGGAAGGGCCTCGTTTTGGGTTACTTCTTAATGTGGAAAAAACTGAAATTTTCTGGCCTACAGAAGACCCTCGAAGTAAGCTTGTGGGTGTTTTTCCGCCCAATATTGCTCGACCTTTGCGAGGTGTTAAGTTGCTTGGTGGTCCTGCTAGTTCCGATTCCAGTTTTGGTGGAGAGCTTGTGATGCAGAGGGTGACCAAGACCATTGCGCTTATGGATAAGGTTGCTCTGCTTGATGATCCTCAGTGTGAGCTATTGTTACTTAGGGCATGTACCGGAGTTTCTAAACTCTACTTTACATTGCGTACTTGTCCTCCTAGTACTTTTGAGACGGCTCAACGCACATTCGACGGGGCTCTTCGATCTTCCTTGGAGCATATTGTTACTACTTCGGGGCCTGGGTTTGGCGATTGGCAATGGCGACTTGCCACCTTACCATTTGCGTTTGGAGGGCTTGGGGTCTATTCTGCAGGTGATGTTCGTCATTATGCTTTTCTTGCTTCTCGGTTACAGTCTGCTGGGTTGCAGACACAGCTTTTACGGCATGCTGGCATTGTTGGTCTTGGACGAGCCTTTGGAGATGCGTTGTGTCTGTTTAATGGAATAGTGGAGTCTGACATTATGAGTAATCCTAGTGAGGTCGCTGCCCCTAAACTCATGAAGAAATTGGCAGATATATATTTCACGAAGATTACCGCTTCTGCAGAATCCGCCTATTCTTTGTCTCCTCGGCAATCAGCATTGTGGAAATCGCAGCAGGGTGATCACACCTCTGCTTGGCTTCGGGAAGTCCCTATTTCTGGGTTGGGTCAGACGATGAACCCAAAGACCTACCGATGTGTGTTGTGCTACAGGATGGGTGTTCCATTGTTCTCTATCTCGACGCCGTGCTCTACTTGTTCTCGGGTTTTTACTGGGGATAATTTCGGTGATCAAGCGGTGTCGTGTGCTGGTATTGTGGGTATTAAACATCGACATAATGTTGCCCGGGATACCCTTGTTGATATTTGCTACAGATCTGGGATTTCGGCAAGAAAGGAGGTTGACATAGGGTTGTCTGGAGGGAATGACGGGGCCCTTAGACCAGCTGATGTCTTACTTTTTTTCTGGGATCATGGTCGCGATGTTAGTGTGGACTTAACAGGGTCTTCTCCTTTGACACAAACAGGGCTATCTGACTTTGTCCCTGGGTGGGTTGTGGCAGATGCGGCTCATCGGAAGCGGGTGAAGTATGAAGCTAGTTGTCGGCTGATTGGTTATGGTTTCATTCCCTTCTCCTTTTATTCGCTTGGGGAATTAGAGAAGGAGGTTGTTGCGTTGCTGAAGCGGGTTCAAAGGTTCTCGACGACGCAAGACATTGGGGCTCGTGCTGCAGCTTATATCTTCACTAGGGTAGGCTTTGCTATAGCTAGAGGAGTGGGGGCCCATATTGTATCTCGGCTTCCCACTAATTTATTGTAGGTTGTATAACTTTGTCTGTTTTTGAGATAATAATAATAATAATAATAATAATAATAATAATGATAATAATAATAATAATGATAATAATAATAATAATAATAATAATAATAATATAGAAACTTTGATTTTTTATTTTAATACTTTAATTGGTTTCTCGCCTAACATAACAAAATGAAGAGAGTATAATAACATATATATCGTAATATTATAAAAACTTTAGCTATGCATGTAATCATGTAAGAAAATTTAATTAAAATTTAATTCCTTTTTATTTGTATCTCCGATACTTTCATTTATAATCATATTTTAGGAAAGAAAAAATTGACCAAATATCATTAGATTAGGGTTATTATTCCTAGCCATTAGGTGTAATACATAATTTTAAATACTTATTTGTTTAATAAAAAGAATATTGATACTAATTTATCATTGAATTTTTAAAAAATTCATCATATGGTCTAACATGTAGTTTTAATATACTCATTTGTCTAATCAACTCGATCTTTCGTTATTTCATGTTTCATTTTATATACACAAAATAAGAAGATAATGAATATGTTATAGTTGTATTTATCTATGATTTTTTTTTTGAACGGGTGTAATAATATCAGTAAATAATAGCCATACGACATCTACAATAATAAATATATGTAAACCACAAATTTAGAGAAAATACCATGACTTTTACAATCAAAATCATAAAAGTTAGATAAGAATCTTGCTAACGAATGTCCCCATGGTGTTAGATAAGCATTTAAAATATTTCCTAAAGTGGTATCAATTTGGGAAATCATGCCAAAATCACGTATCGATCGGTGTAATTAATGTTCATTTTAATTTAATATTTCTACTTTTATTCAGCTTATCCAACGCACGCGGAGCGTTTGTTAGCTTTTGCCATTTAATAATTCATCCTTCATAGTTAGCGTCCTCGAAGATCATTTTGCATGCTTTCAGCAAAGAGCCAATAATTAATTCACTAAACATCTTTAATTATGTATAAACAACCAATAGCCAATACTCAACATACATCATGGATATAAGTGTCCTCGAAGATCATTTTGCATGCTAAGAGCCAATAATTGATTCACTAGACATCTTTAATTCTTTATAATAAACAACCAATAGCCAATACCCAACATATATCATCGATACAACATAATCTGATAAAAGGTTATGAGAAACTTAATTATATTGATAAGTATACAAGAGTATATATGTATAAGATTAGAGCATTGATCATCACTAAACTATGACTACTAGGTACAATAGTGATATCCCTTATTATTAGCTAATGTACCTAGTCACATATTGTACCTAATCACAATCTTTGACTATTGATCTAAATGAGTAAATCGGAAAATTACACAAATTATTAACAGTATACTATCGCAAATCTCGTTTAATGTAGGAATAAAAGTGTAGGTGAGAAGGGTTGCATTGCATTGTAATTCTCCGATAAGGTTTGGAGAGAGTTGAGTATTGGAATGTTTTTATTTTATTTTTTTAAACTGTAAGATGAAAAGATGAAATATATATAGATAATAAGGAGTTGCATAATGAGTAATTTTTACAGTTTTTGTGACACATGAACCATTGATTGCAAAATTAAAATGAAGAATTTTGCTAGTGTGTGCCTTGCAACATAACATATGGGAGAAAGAAAATATAGGGTCGGGGTTTCTTTACCACCATTATTGAAGGTGAGGTAGAAAAATGTAATGGTGGTGATGGTAGTTTAGAACGAAATGTAGAAAGAACATGAATGTAAGGTTGACAAACGTTAGATAAATTCCATGTTATCTCTAAGAGAATATTTTTCCACAAAGGGTTTGGAGAATTTTTTTTTGACAATTGACATTTCTTGGTAGATGAGTTACGAGGTATTGAAAAGCTGTGAGCGGAAATTTGAATTGGGTTTGAAGCTTTCTCAAGAGTTACCCCAATGGTGAAGATATTCTTCACATGAATTTTTTTTTTTACTGATAAATATTTCCCAATGGTGAAAGTTCACCAATATCCTCACAAATATCTGAGAAAAACTTCTTAGCGTGAGGAAGTTCACACAAATGTTCACGCGGGCCCCACAGCAAAAAAGTTTGACAAGTGTTCACTTTTCACAATTTTTTTTAATGTTTTAAATAAGAAAGAGAAATGTGTTGGGATAGTGGGAATAGTAGGATAGAGATTGGTGAGAAAATTTTTGGTTTATTCATTGATAGGATAAAAAAAAATCCCCTCACAAAAAAGCTAATGTAAAGGAGAGGGAAATGTAGAGAGAGTGGTGAGGGATTTTTTTTTTTCCTCACCATTGTGCATGCTCCAAGTGATCGAAGAGATTGACTTGTTTGGTGGTGAGTATATCACAACCGTGTCATTGATAAAGATGAGAGGAAAGAGGAAAGGTGATCAATAGGGACATCATCTTTTGTCAGCATAGGCAATGGATCTTGATGGTGTAACCATGAAAGTGATATGTGGGATAGCAAAAGCATAAAAATAGATCTAAAGCTCATGATACCATGAGTCCATGATAGAGTTATGAGAAAGCATAATTATATTGATGAGTATACAAGTATATATATATATATATATATATATATATATATATATATATATATATATATATATATATATATATATATATATATATACATGGGGTGGTTCCGCTGAAAACAAGATTTATGCTGAAAACAAGGCTTATACTGAAAACAACAAATCTCAACCATTCATTATTAGCACAAAAGACCAGACGGTTTAAAAGTCGCTATATTAAAAAATGAAGTAACTATATCAATTTTGATAACATATACATTGAGGTCACTATATACAAAAATAAGGTAACTATATCAATTTTTACAATATTTACTAAGAGGTCACTATATACAAAAATAGGGTAATTATATCAATTTTGACCACATTTACATATAGGTCACTATATACAAAAATAAGGTAACTATATCAATTTTGATCACATTTATACAAAGGCCACTATACATAAAAATAACGAATGTCACTATAGATAAAAGGAAGGTAATTATATCAATTTTGACAACATTGATCACATTTATATAGAAGTTACTATTTACAAAATAAGGTAACTATCAATTTTGACCACATTTACATAAAGGTCACTATGTAAGTATGTATAAATAAAGGTCACTCTAAAAAAAAAAGTTATTTGATTAATTTTGAATACATTTTATAAATATCACTACATGTAAACCTATGTAGGATTCGAACCCACGTCATGTGTGTAATACAAGTACACATTGCTCAACCAATTAAGCTAATAGGTTTCTAACACGCAAACAATAAAGCTTATAACCAATCAAGTTTAGAGTTTCGATTTTTTGTCGAATGTTCTTTTGCATCATAAGGCGGCTGCTGCCCCCCCCCCCCCCCCTCCTTCCTTTGCTCCTGCCCCTAAGCAGCCTAAACCTTCACCCCACCATCAGCTAACCTACACAACATCAACAAGTAGCAATAACAACCTTGTAACTCCCCTGCTGCAACTTGCAAGTATCCACGCCACTCTCCTACTTCAGCACAACCCACGCAACCCAAAAACAACACATAGTAGCTACGCATTCCCACAATAACCACCAGCTACCTTAATTCGCCTAGCCAGCCATGTAGTTCATCCAACACGCACCCTCTAAATCCACAACCAACCTCCGCCAATTCACATGACCAGCTATCGCAATAGCCACCACAGCAGTCCAGCCGCAACAGCAGCAGCCGCATCTCTATCGGACGCCCACACAACAACCACCAATTGCTCCACCATTCGCCACCATAGCCCGACTCCAACATCATCAATTCAACTTCCAACAATCAACAATTCAGCCAATTAGAAAATACAAAATTAAACAAAAATACAATTGCATTCAGAACCAGAAGAAAGTCGAGCAAAAATTACACATAAAATACAATTGAAGCGCAAGAATGCCAAACGAAGAAATTAAGTTGAATTATAACATAATTACACTCATTTATTGGTACTAGACAGTAGACAGTAGACACTAGCCAAATATTGATTCATAAAATAAATACAAGCAGACCTTGCTTTTCTAATTTACTCAAACATAATTTACTAAGATCATAAACACAAAAAATTGTGTTACAAATAGGTGAAGAACAACAACAAGAACAGAGTTTCGAGCAAAAATACACATTAAAACCTGATTTACTAAAACCAAGAAAAATTGAACAAAATACAGTTCAAAACAACAATTCGTCTTTGGCCTCCCTACCAAGTAAATACGGAAAAGATTATTAACATTCACCATGAAAAATCTATTGGGATCTAATAATAATAATAATAATAATAATAATAATAATAATAATAATAATAATAATAATAATAATAATAATAATAATAATAATAATTTGATGATTAAAATTAGTAAATTCTACCACTCAAAGCATTTGATAGTAGCTTTCCACACACTAGTCAAACACTAGGCTCTACCTAAGAACTCCACCAAACACCAAAATCTAGAAGTAAATTAGTGGCTAAAAGATAGAAATTGAAAAGCAGTGGATCTATCTTGATATGTTTGAAATCGTAAGACCATATCATCTGAATTAGCATTAGCTGCAGAAATAATTGTAGTTTCAGAAACATTAACAACTAGCTAATTAATATTGACTAATTATATGCAGATCAGAACATACTATTATTGTAATACATGCAGCTAGAAATCGCAGAAATCGCATTTACAGAAAGCTCGAAAAAATATAATCTTATTGATATTATACACAATAATCACTGAAATCGCATCAGATTCGCAACTATTGAAAATGCAATTATCTCACAATTTAAAAAGCCTAACCACACAATTTCTCCATTTTGATTAAAAGTCAACAAATTATGGCAGAATCGATACCTTAAACCTACAATTTCAATGACTTTGAGCAATGTTTTGAAGATTGGCATTGAACTCGAGTAGCAATTTGTGATATTCAGCGACAAAATTTAGCAACGCTTAAGTTAACAAAAAATTAGAGTTCATCAGTTTTTGCTGAAGAAAAATAGGAGAAATACCTTTGATAGGGAGAAGAATAGAGAGAAAAACAGAGAGAAAAGAGAGGAGAGAGAAAATTACGTGTGCATATGAAGGAGGAGAGAGAAACTAAATGCTTTAGTCTGAAATTGTGGGAAAAAAAAACCCCAACCATTAGATTTAATGAGTCAGTGGTTGATTATAATATACGGTTTGATGTTTTCAATTTTCAACTTAAGCCTTGTTTTCACATGATCCACTCCCTATATATATATATATATATATATATATATATATATATATATAAGGTCAGGATCCGGTGAGAACCATCCTTTATGTGAGAACTCACACCTTATGTGAGAACAAACCTCAGCCGCTAGATTAGATCAAATCCAACAGCTGAGATTTTCTCTCTCTTCCTCCAGGTTCTCTTATTCTACGCTCTTCCATTTTTTCGATCTTCAATTTCTTTGCTTTTGCTCATCAATTTCTCGCGATAATCTGTTAAGGTATGTAAATTTCAGTTTAATTTTGAATTTGATCGATTTTGAAACATGTTTTTGCGATTTTGATTTCGAATGAGTTCAAGTTGATTTTTGATTTTCTGATTTGATTTTCAATATTTTTATTCTTCTTGTTGGGGAAAGCTTGACAAACGAACCATGATTTGAAAGTCCGAGTTACAAGTTTCAAGCCTATATTTGAGATTATGATAACAGATTTCTAAACGGTTTAGCTTGTTCTCGAATTCAATCAAGGAATATTTTAGTTTAGAAGCTTATAGAATAGGTTCATCGGCCCTAAAAACAAGCAATCACCACTGGCCGCAAATTAGGGTTCTTGTTCTTCGAATTGTTTGGATTTTGAGGATTATTCTAATTCTTACTTGCGGTAACTCCAACTTCTTCATTTAAACAATTTCTGAGTTCCTCTTCTAATCCATTGAAACAATTCATGAGGTAAGATAATCTCTCGACCTTTTATTTTTAGTTTTTTTCCCCTTTTCTACTACTACATGTCGCTATGTTGCTGCGGCCCTGCTACTTCCCTGTTGTTTCATCCCTTCCTATATTTTGTGGTGTTGAGCGGTTATGTGATTCTGTGCTTGTTGTACTTAGATTAAATTATAGAGATGATGATTCTTATAAGGTTAATAGAATTATTAGTCAAGCAAATATTGTTTCTAGTTATATTGAATCCTGAGCTTTAGTGCGATTAAAATTATGGATGACTACTGATATATGTGTAATTGAGATTCCGAATGGCATAAATAGTTGATTTTTTGTACAACTTTAGAGAATTTAGTTATAAAACTATATCTGAATTTGATTACTGAAGGTTCCCAACAATTTTCTATACCCGGTGAGCCACCGAGGTTTGTACTTTTTCAAATTAACTATATCTGCCATTATTGAGATGTTCTTGTTTGAGATTCTTTCTTCTTGACATACTTTGCTAAGTGGTCGCTCAGTTTTGGCCACCACACTCTTGACATGCTTGAAACATGGGTGCTTGGTTTTCACTTACTTATTTTTCTTCTTCTTAATACTCGGGGTATCAAGTTTGAAATATGCTGCTGAGGATATTTCATATCTTACTTTGGAATTGGAGTATTATCTTTAATTACACTTTGAGTATTAGCTTGGTACATCATGATGATGGATATATATATATATATATATATATATATATATATATATATGCATCCTTGTAATTACAAGACTTACTGGGATGAGTTTGTGTGGAACAGATTATCAGTGCCTAAGCACAGATTTTGTTTTTGGTTAGCAATGTGTATGAGACTCAAGACTCGGGTCAGATTGTAGAAATTGGTTACGTGTGATGATGACAGGTGTGTTTTTGGTTAGCAATGCCTTTTTTGAAGCAGATTTATAATTGACTTATTAACTTTGCTCCTATTGGGAGCTATTGTAGCATTCTGAGATATATTCAAAGAGCCCAGGATTTGACTAAATTTCAGAAACAGGTTGTCTTTGTGGCTTTAGCTGTCTAGCTGAAGCCCAATATTACATTTGTCGTTTGAGGAACGATATCACATGGAATTGAACAAGGGACTATTAATGCTAATCAAATGATTACTCGGTTGAAGGAGAATGTAGTTGGTAGAATTAGATGTTTGCCATGTAAAATGAGTGCTAAAAACAGAAGTTGGTTTGATAATATGTGTTGTATAAGTTTCTTTCGCTGCTTGTTTTGATAATATGTGATGAGCAACGATTCTTTGCTCATGTATCAAATGAGCAACAATTATTTGTTCATTTATCAAATGAGCAAACAATTTCTTGCTCTTTTATCAAATGAGCAAACAATTCTTTACTCATTTATCAAATGAGCAAACAATTCTTTAGCAACAATTCTTTGTTCATTTATCAAATGAGTAAACAATTCATTGCTCATTTATCAAATGAGCAACAATTCTTTTTAATTTATCAATTAGGCAACATAAGGTGAAAAAAATTTAGAACAGAAAAATAATTTAAGACATATATTTAGAGCTTAGGTAGAAAATTCTAGAGCATAAGCGAAAAATTTCAGAATAGTTGCTGTAAATTTTGGAACATATTCAGTAAATTTTAGAACATATGCAAAAACTATTTATAACATATGATAAAACCTATTAGCTCAACTGGTAGAGAACTATGCAAATTCATAGGATGTAGGTTCAATTCCTACATTGGTTATAACTATAAATAACTAAAAATATAAAATAAAAATAAAGAAAATCAAATTAGCAAAAAATTATATGAGCAAAAAATTGGCTTGAAATGATTAATAACTATAGAAACTTTATTACAACTAAACTCTCATATAAACGATTTGTCTTCTCATTACACAAATGAACCTATGTGAGATTCTCGAACCCACATCTTTTGTGCATTTTTACAATGCTCTACCTGTTGAGCTAGTAGGTTAATGCAAACTAAATTCAAATGAGAAAACAGACATAAAATGAGCAAACTATATTCAAATGAGTTTACCTTATACCTTATACCAACCCGCCTCAGGCTTCTCCCATTTCTACAAAACAGTAGCAGTACCCAGATTAACAGTGGCTTTCTCATACTCTCCAATTATGCCCATAGCTTTTTTTTGAATCCAGCTAGATCAACCATCTTCCCTTCAAAAACCCAGGAATTTCTTCGCAACCATATACCCCAAAGCAGACTCCAAAACATGCTCCACCATTCAATATCAGTGTGCACCATCTCTAGCTCTAAGCACCACTCAAAAAAAGATCCAACCTCAAAAGTGCTAAGGTCGAGACTTAGTGGAGAAGATACCAAATATTGCCCTGTTACATAATGTAAGAGTATGAAGAGTTGTCTCACTCTCTTCACCACACATAGGACACAGAATATCAACCGTCATTCCCCTCCCAACCATAGTGATGGTAGTAGGTCAGAGGGGTAAATATACAAGTACTAAGGGCATTTGATAAATTAACAAAGAATATTTGCTCAAAATATATGTTTTAACTTATTTTTCTATGTTCAATCTATGAAAGGAGCAAATATTTTGCTCATCTAAGAAAAGGGTAATCATAAGGAAAAGTTAGACAATTAGAACAAAGCAATAGTTGAAAGGTCATAACATAAATGAGCAAATAGTTAGTTGTTCATTTGTCAAATGAGCAAACATGTCTTAAATCATTCATTAAATCAACAAACATTTCTTCGCTCATTTGTGAAATGAGCAAACATTAGTTTGCTCATTTGTCAAATAAGCAAATAATTAGTTACTCATTTGTAAAATAAGCAAACATTTCTTTGATCATTTAGGAAATGAGCAATCAATTTTTTGTTCATTTAACAAATGAGCAAATAGTTAGTTGCTCATTTTTCAAATGAGCAAATACTTAGTTGCTAATTTAACAAATACTTAGTTTTTCTTTCTTTAATGTTTCCTTTAAAACCTTTTTTCCTTTGTCCTTAGAAGCAACTGTCTTGAACTTCCTTCCCTTATGTTGTGGCTGTGTAGAACCACCAACAACTTCTAACTGTGCTGCCCCTACTACATCTTGGTCACCACCAACAACTCCTAACTATGCAGCCCCTGCTGCATCTTGGTCATCACCAACAACTCCTAATTGTGACCCCGCCGCATCTTGGTCACCACTAACATTAGCAGCAGAATTTGTCTTAACAGATTTCATGTTCATACAAAATATTAGAAAACATATCATTTTGGGTAGCCATGATGTTAGTGGGTGTCCTCAGCTAAAGCACATGCCATCAGAATCAGCAGGATTGACTTCTCCTAATAGCATAAACTGACCCTAAGGAATAACATGGTACAAACTATAAATTGACCCTAAGGAGTATGTTATGATAGAGAAGCATAGGCTAATAAATTATCTAATGAACAATTGGCAAATAAGCAATCAATGTTTTGCTCAATTATCAAATGAGCAAATACTTAGTTGTTAATTTAACAAATGAACAAAAACTTAGATGCTCATTTGTAAAGTGAGAAATAATTAGTTAATCATTTGGAAAATAAGCAAACATTTCTTTGATCATTTTGAAAATGAGCAATCACTTTTTTGCTCATTTAGAAAATGATCAAATAGTTAGTTGCTGATTTGTCAAATGAGCAAATACTTAGTGCTAATTTAACAAATGATTGCAACTCCAAACTAAACATACATTTCATTAGATATGCTATACAAAATCAAAAACCTGATATTTCATAAATGAGCAACAAAACATAAAATGAGCAAGTTTTATCCAAACAATAACTATTATACTGACCAACAAAACATAAAATGAGCAAATAAGAAAACACGTACATAAGCAAATAACTAGTATCAGAATCGATCATTAAAGGTTTTTTTTAACTATTGTACAAGAAAAATCAGATCATCATCTCAATAACTTTAGGCTTGTTTCCCAAGAATCCTATTCCACAAAGGTTACGACTTACAAGTGGACCTATTTTCTATTTGTTTTTACATCTTCATTATATGGCCCTCGGAAAATTAAGAACTTCAACCTTATTAAATAGTCATTGCTTTCAACCTCCAAACAAGTATGACTGCAAATTATGTGAACAAAAAATCAAAACCAAACCAGAAGTTTGCCAAGACAAGTTCAATTTTTTTGACACATCGAATCATATAACAGGTAGACATTTGCATATAAAGATACATTATTGATGG